TCCTGGCCAGTTCTTAGCAGAGACTAAATCTCTTTGTTGGAAGTGGGTTAAGCAGTAAGGACTTTGGTGCCTAACTGGGACTCAGTTCCCGAGAACAGAAGGGAAGTTGAGGACAGGCGTGTTTAAGATACAACGGGGCTGTCTGAACTGCCGAGGACAGGTGCTCATGGATGCATCTGCTTGGGGTCCCTGGGTGGTGGGCTGTCTCTGACTCTCCTGAATGTCATTTCCAGGCCAGCCGCTTGGGGGTGGAGGCTGTGGTCGCCCTTCTGCAGGCCACTCCAGAGACCCCAGCCTGTGTGGTGTCACTGAGGGGGAACCAAGCAGTGCGCCTGCCCCTGATGGAGTGCGTGCAGATGGTAAGCATGGGAAGGGGGATACAGGAACCAGCAGGCACCTCTGTCCCCTGGTCTGTTGCTGACAAGCTGCACAGGATGTTATATGACCTTAATCAGGACACAGAGCTGCCTGTGTGCCTGGCAGTGGGCTCTGTATCACCTGGACCGGGTCCCTTTCTCAATTCTGCACATGTAGACTACACTCATTTCTACTAGGGGATGTGACACTGTCAGGAAGGATTGTGCTGGGAGGACCCATGAGGGTTTTTGTGAGGCAACTGCGGGGTGGGCTGCACAGGGCACACTTGGCCTCTGAAATTTCAGCCTCTCCTTCCATGTGCACTGGCATGACTAATTCAGGTGACATTTTTCCAGGTCCCAGGTTGTCATTTCCCACCTCAGCATCCACTAACAGAGATGGCAGTCAGCTGTAATAGATATTGTTCTTAGCTTGTATCTCTCAAAGTCTGTTCATGACTATCGTCCCACTTGTTCTTTCCAGCAGCTCTGAAGTACATGCATTTGATAACATATACAGAGAGGTGGTTAAGTAATTAAGTCATGGGCTTGTTGGAAGTTACCTTAGACACATCACTTCAAAGCCTGTGTGAGGGAATTAAGCCGTGTGTGTGTGTGTGTGTTTCCGTATGTGTTTTTTGTTTAAGCATATGTGTGTCTGTATGTGTTTGCATGCGTGTGCATGTATCCATACATGTGTTTTTGTCTAAGCATGTTTGCCTGTGTTTTTTCATACAAGCTCATGTGTTCATGTGTGTGCATGCATGTATGTGCATGCATGCCTGTTTGTGTGTGTGTCTACGTCTGGGAGAGACTTGAGATGACAGGGTTAAGAGGATCAGGCTGTTGTGCTATGTGTAGCAGTCTGTCTTGAGCCTGTTTCTTATGGCGTGTATCTGTTCCTTCAGAGACAAACATGTAGGTATGATCTGGTTTTTCCTCTGAGCGGCCATACATTGTGGCAAATTAGCCACAGTGGACCTTTCATTGGCACCTGCTGTTGCCAGGTGTCTTCCTAATAGTCTGGCCTGTTTTATAAAATGGTTTTTTAAATTGATTTTCAGAGAGAGTAAAGCGGGGGTGGGGGGGGTGGCAGAGAGAGAAACATCAATCGGTTGCTTCCAGCACGTGCCCTGACCGAGAATCAAACTCACCGCCTTTTGGTGTATGGGAGACGCTCCAACCAATGGAGCCACCCAGCCAGGGCGAGCCTGGCATGTTTTATAAGCAAAGATGACACTAGTGGTAGAGGATGCTCTCCTTATTGTACAGATGAGGAAACTATAACCCGCCTGAGTTCCTTGGGCCGAAGGGGCAGAGGCCAGGTCCCAGGGGGTGTGTCTTCTCCAAGCGCTTCCCTCTGGCTGTGGTGACCCCATCCGGGTCCCCCAGCTCCTAGGGTGGGTGCTCCTGTTTGCTTTTTGCTCTCCAGAATCCAGTTGGGAATTTGTTAGATGCTTGTCTGAGACATGCATTTCCCCTGACTCTTCTCTGATGGAGCAAAGCCCCCAAGATCTCAGGACCTGCTGTCCTGGGACGGCTGGTGGGGGTACCTCAGCGTTTTCGTGAAGTGGCCTGAGCTAGTGTCCCCAGGTGTCTCCCTCATAGCTGGGCGACGACAGGCCGGCTGCAGCCCACTGTGGACTGCTGAGCCCAGGCTGCCGGCCTGCAAAGTTGGGACGTGACCGGAACAAGGTGGAGGCACCGAGCTGGGCGTGAGGCTGCGCCGAGTGCTGACCCCGCTTTCCTCCTCTTGTCTCTTTAAAGACCCAGGGCGTCCAGAAGGCGATGGATGAGAGGAGGTTCAAGGACGCCGTGAAGCTCCGAGGAAGGTGACTGTCCTGAAGGCTCTGGCGTGGGACCTGCGCTGCCTGCCTGGCCCTGCAGAAGGCCCTGCGGGGTTGTACTTGTCTAGTGTCACTAGGAGGAGTCAGAACAAGGACGGCAGGCAGGCGCCTTTCTGCAGGTTGAGGGCCTGGGTGACGAGTTAGGGGGAAAGGGTTTATCTCTTTGTTTATTTTGGGCAGGGGTCATCAGAATGTAATGAGATTAAGATAGGAAGTGACAAGTGGGTAGTGTGTTGGCAAGGAAACCTGAGGGGTACTGGACGCCCCTGTCCCTTAGCCCAATTACAGGATGTGGATCCTATATACCTGTGTCCCTGAGAGGGCACAGGGTAATGGTAGGACCCTGCCCCCAAGGGATGGAGCAGCGTTTGCAGACTGTCAGCTCCTGGTACCATTGTTCTCTGCACCCTGCTTCCCCTACACATTCTAAGTTTGGTCCAACAGCGCCATTTTCTTCTAGGAGCTTCGAGGGTAACCTAAACACCTACAAGCGGCTCGCCATCAAGCTGCCAGACTCCCAGATCCCAAAGGTGGGTGACGACGCTGCATGTTGTCTCCCAGAGGTGTTCCTGATGGTCCCTGCTGACCCTGCCCCCAGGCTGCCTTTCTGCCCTAGACAATGTCACAGCCTCCCTGCACTTGGCCATGTGCTCCTGGAACCTAGTGGTGGGCAGGGCCAGGTGTGCATGGAGCAGTGACACACCTGTGACAGGTCCCACACGCCCCCTGTCTTGCAGAGTGGCTTCAATGTGGCCATAATCAATGTGGGGGCACCGGCTGCCGGGATGAATGCAGCTGTGCGTTCAGCTGTGCGGTTCGGCATCTCAGAAGGACACAAGATGTTTGCCATTTATGACGGCTTCGAGGGCTTTGCCAAAGGCCAGGTGGGTCCCTCAGTGAAGGGATGTCTTGGGTGGGAAAGTCATGGGGAAACTGGGGACCTCGGGTTCCATCAGGAATACAGCAACTGCTTTTTAAAAAAAAAATAAAGTGTGTTTATTGATTTTAGAGAGAGGAAGGGAGAGGGAGAGAGAGAGAAAGAAACGTCTATGTGGGAGAGAAACATCATTCAACTCCTCCTGCACACACCCTGACTAGGGATCGAACCCGCAGCCTGGGTCTGTGCCCTGACCAGGAATCAAACCTGCAGCCTTTTGGTGCACAGGATGACAACCAGCTGAGCCACCCGGCCAGGGCATAGCAACTGCTTTTTAAGGCCAACTTCTGCCTTAGGAGCCCATCCTAAGGAAGGGTCTTACTGCTCCTATGAGATTGACATGTGTTAACTGGTGTAAATCTCACAGTAAATCTGAGATATTATCCCTATTTTCCTTATGAGAAAACTGAACAGAGACATTAACTTGATCACGGTCGCACAACGCAGGATTGAAAACACCATGGCGAGGGTGCAAGTGCGTCCTGTCCACAGTGCTGGTTCACCTGATTACTCAGCAACTGTTACTGAGTTCTCACTCTGTGGAATTAAATTTGTGAAGAAAGCAGACAAAACTACTGCCTCCGTGGAGTTCTCATCTTAGGGAGGGAGATGAGGGTAAATGAAAATAGACTGAGCATCTGTAGAGCACATGAGGAAGTGACCAGTGCTGGACAGACACACAGAGGGGACAGGTGAGCCCTGGGCCCGGGGTAGGGTGTGTGGGGAGGAGTCTGTACTAAGACACTGAAGACAAATGCTGCTGGTAGGTGATCTCAGACTCAAGGTTGAAGGGCTGCGCGAGAGGCTGTCCCGGGCAGACAGAGGGCAGTGCCAAGGCCAGAGGGCCAGGTCCTTCGTAGGACTTGTAAGGAGTTTGGCTTTTATTCTGAGAAGACAGGTTTTGAGCAGGGGCCTAGCACATACAGATTGTAAGGGGCAGGAGTGGGAAGCAGGAGACTAGTTGGGGGGCTTCCTCAGTAACCCAGGCAGGAGGTTTGTAGGCTTGGTCCAGCCTGGCAACAGTGGAGTTGCTGAGACATCTTCTAGGGTCTTGGATATATTTTGAAGGCAAAGCCAATAGAATCTGGTCATTAAATATGCACAAGGGTGAAAAAAGGAGGTGAGAATGAATCTATTTCTGGCCTGAGTTGCAACTGATGGACACAAGGAAATGTAAGAGGCTCTGAGATTCCAAGATGGTAAGTAGGTGTCTGGTGGGCATCCTGGGGGAGGTGTCCAGTGAGCAGATAGAGATTGTGTTCTGGGTCTTCAAGAAGTGTGGGCTAAAGATGGGTGTTTTAGGGGCGTTAGAAAACAGATGGTGTTAAAAATTACGACACAGAGAGGCCCCCAAGGGTGTGAAAAGAAAGGATTTTGCTGTTAAGAGGAGAGAGGGGAGACCTGGCCCAAGAGACTGAGGCATGCTGAGGAGACGGTACATACACCTAGCTGGCATCTATCCTTTCAGTTTTCAAAAAATTTTTAATTAAGTAAGTTTCCTTTTAATCTTATGTCAATTAAAAAAACAATAATGTTAATTTTTCTTTTAATTCCCAGTGGTAGAGTTTGGTCAACTGAAGTGTCCATCGATCCTTTTGACTGGGGCTAAGCTGCAGGGGTGCTGATGGCTGGGCCTTAGCCTCCGCTCTGTGTCTTGACTCCTTCAGCACAGTGGTGGAAGCTGCTTCCTAGCACGTCACAAATCCTACAGACAGGCAGCCCGCGGGAGGTGCTGACCTCTGAGCTGCTTATAAAACTTCTCATTCCCTTACTTTCTCACAGGAGCTGTTTCATTCTCTGTTTGGCCCTTAGATAAAAGAAATCGGTTGGTCGGATGTTGGAGGCTGGACCGGACAAGGCGGCTCCATTCTTGGGACAAAACGGTAATTTCCCTCCTTGATTCTGACCTGCTTTCAGGAGGAAAAAAAGGCCATATTCTAGAGGCGTGGCTGGTGCATATGCTGTAAAGGGGTCCCATAGGAGGGTGACCCTGGCCCACATCCTGGCCCCACCCCAGGAGGGCCCCAGGTGATGTGAGGAGCTGAGGCTGAGACGAAGTGCCCTTGGAAAGAAACTCGGTGGATCACGCATTATCTCTTTCCTCCCCAAATCTCTTCTACCCACGGGCTTGAAGAATCAGATGCTGGGCAGAAATCCTCCACCTCATTTGAGGTGATAAAGATGAGCGACGTCACTGAGCTGCAGTGACCGTACCTGTAAACCGGAGCTAGAGCGTGGCTGCTGGTGGCTTAGCGTCTGGGCGCAGACCCGAGTGGCAGCAGCACTGGGGGCCAGTCCCAGCCCAGAGGCGTGCCCCGAGTGATCCTAGCACAGAGCCTGTGTTTCCCAACATAGCTGGGGGCAGAGTATGTATTTTAACCAGGCACCATGATTTAATATTAAGTCTGAGTCTCTTCATCTTCGATCTCAGGGGGTGCAAGTTAATATCAGTTGTTACTATACATCACATTTTATATGGAAGGAAAATAATTTGTATGTAAGTCTAGTAAATGTTGGGTCCAATACGAGTGTTAGCTCAGTGTCCTGTGCAATCTGTCCCACCCTCCATTCTGCTTTTTGCTTTGAAACAAGGCAGATGTGTCCCCCAGCTGCTGGGAGTGTCTGCAGGGCTGGTGCTCCCCAGTGGCTGGCTCTCCAGTCCCCCCGAGTGCCCACAGTGTTGGCAGAAAAGCCCTGATTCGAAGCAGCAGCGCCTGCCAATGCGCCGCACAGCCTCTGCAGCCTGTCGGTGGCACCGCAGGCACCGTGTGCTTTATGTGCCATCCTGGCAGAGCCCCGGGTGAGCCGGCAAGCCCTCCTTACAGTGCTTCAAGAGCTCTACTCTAGACGCTGGGAGGAACCCTGTCGTTGACGTCACACCTACTGTGTGCCCTGACTGCCCAGGCCTGAATACGTTTGCCCTACGGCTTCTCATGAGCCTGCCAGCAGTGCAAACACTGTTTCCTCCAGCCTGCCTGCCAGAGCAGTTGGGTGGGTGGTGGGTGGGCCCTTGAGACCGGGCCAGCTGTCATTTGTATGACTTCACTTGTTGGCTGCATTTGAAACGCGGTAAAATAGGAGAATAATAGCAAATAGGAGTGGGTGTGACTTCAAAGGAAGTTGGGTAAGATAAAGTATAAAACTGGAAGTTTCTATTTAAATGATACTTGTGAATAACTGCAAGTTATTATGATTAATTTGTTTCTCTAATGAGGCTGCAGAATTCTTTTGAAGTGAAGCTATTGGACAGCTGAAAAGTGTCTTCTCCCTGTTTTCTTTGGAAAATACACTCTTTTGGGACTTGATCCCTGGTCACTCCTGCTGTGGGTGTTTCCCCCACCCTGCTGCCCAGCAGCCACACAGAGGAGGTTGCAGACCCTCCACAGCTCAGTGCCACTAGCTCCTCCAGGGAGGTAGGACAAGGCGGCCGTCAGGGTGCTGGCAGATGTTTGGTCCACCTTGTGAGGCCTGTCTGGCCTCATCTCTCTTGAACTGTTTTTAGGATCCTCCCCAAGAAATACTTGGAGGAGATTGCTGCACAGATGCGCACTCATAGCATCAACGCGCTGCTGATCATCGGTGGGTTTGAGGTACGTCATCATTTCTGTTCACTGGTTGGCTCTTCCATGCTGTAGGCTTGCGTGGTGGCCTGTGCCAGCTCCACCAAGCTTCTCATGAACTGGGGTCATAGAGCCCCGGGCCCAGCCGCCACCGGACAACTGTGATGCAGAGCATAGCAGGTGGTGAGACTCACCCAGCGGGAAGTGACACCTGACTCCTTGACTGGGGCCCATCTGTCAGTGAGTCCTGGTGTCTTTCAAGTCAACAGAAATGATTCTCTCTCTTGAATCTGAAGTCCGTTGGTGATTCAGGGAGGAAGGGAGTTATATGGCCAGATCATTTCTTTATCCCATGTTGTATGGTAGGCCTTAATTTTTGTACTATTCAACCAAGATCAGTCCCACGATAACCTTATGGTTTCCTTTCAAGAAAATGCAAGTCTCAGCTACTCAGACTGAACCTACATGATGACATCCCATGGGCCCCTTTGTGCTTAAAGAATTGCTTGTCCCTGTTGTGACCTTAATACTTTCCATGTTGACTTTCTAGCAGTCTCGTCATTGCCCCTCTTCTGCTTCTCCCTGCCCCCCAACTGCACATGCTTGTCCCACAGGCCTACCTGGGACTGCTGGAACTGTCAGCCAGCCGGGGGAAACATGAGGAGTTCTGTGTCCCTATGGTTATGGTTCCCGCCACTGTGTCCAACAACGTCCCGGGGTCCGATTTCAGCATTGGTGCCGACACCGCTCTGAACACCATCACTGACGTAAGTCTGTGTGGCAGCAAAGTAGGGTCCGCAGATGCTAACCCAGGGCACCTGGCCCGTTTTTATCTACCAGTGCACTAGAGACGCGAGCCAGGCCTGATTCGTTTGTCTGTTTCCAGAAAAGTATTTTTAAAAAGTCTCCCCATCTCTGGTCCAGCTCCCAAAGATTTGTACCACTTCTTTTCTGGTGCTGCAGCCAGGCTGCTGTGCCCCTAAGTGGTGGTGAGCATCTGCATCTCCGGTGCTCAGGGTCACAGTCTTTTGTGATTTGGACAATCATCCAAATTAGTTTTGTGGGGTTTTTTGGCTGAACCCAATCTACTTCTAACCCGTCACCTTGCTGTGATGAATGCTGGGTTCTATGGCCCTGCTTTGATGCTTGAGGACAGAACCTGAGCTAAATGTTTTGTCATTTTGTTCATGGGCCTGAATCCGCCTTTAGCGTTCATTCCTCTTTGCCTGCGCCCATCAGCATCATCCTCCCCACTGTTGGTTGGGGATGCTAAATTATATCTATACAATATTGGTGCTATTTAAGGTTCTGTTTGTTTCTGCCTTTTTTTTTTTTTGTTTGGCTGAAGGGCGATAACATAGAAATATATCTTTATTTTCTTATTTATAAGTCACACTTGGGAAATCGTATGGGAGTCTGAAGATCAGTATCTAACAGAATGCTTTTTTTTTTTAATTCAGTGCCTAAATTTTTTCAGTAAATTCTAAAGTTTTATTTTCCTTCTGAGACCTAGATCTTGTGAATGATTTTCTAAGATATTTTTTTCCTTAAACCCACGGCATCGGTTTTGTTTCTAGTGCTGGTAAATAAAAAGAAATGCTTTTAAAATAAAATTCAATAAGTAATGCTTACTGCTTGTCTGTTGCTTTTCTGAGAACTTCCTAACCTTTCTGCGATCTTTTTACTGAAAAGCCCTGCCCTGTGTCGCTGTGTCCCCGCGTGGGAGATCCACCCCGTGTGCACTCCTAACTGCTTGCTGGCCCTGCTCCTGCTGCCCTGTGACTGTCATTCTTGCTTTCCCTGCTCCGGACTTTTCCCCTCCTGATGGATCTCCCAGCTGTGAATCGCAAGGTCCTGTCTGTCACAAAGTGAACTTCACCTTTGCTTGTATCACTCTTTTCCCTGCCTTTGCTGAGTTTTGAATCTGATTATGCTGAGCTTGTAGTAGAAACAACTGGAAGTTAATTTTTCCTGTTACCGAATCAGAACCCTGGTGGTGGTGGTGGTTGGAGGGGGGAGTTGAAAGGGGCTTCTGCAGGTCCTGTCAAGGCTACGGTTTATTCCTCGGGGTATTTGATACACACTTTCAGGCATGAAGGCAGGGCTCTCCCTCCTTTGTGATTCCAGGCACCTCTCTCTGCTACAAAGAATATTTTTTCCATGTAATTTGGAACCCAAAATTTATAGGGAAAACAGTTCAAATTACCCACTCTGCTTCCCTTAGAGGGGTCTTTGAGGTTTATTATGTGGTCTTTTATTTATTTATTTTTAACATTTTTATTGATTTTTAGAGAGGGAGGAAATAAGAGGGAGAGAGAGAAAGAGAAACATCAATGCGAGAGCAAATCATCGCTCGGCTGCTGCCTCCACGGCCCCTACCAGGGACTAAGCCCACGACCCGGGCATGTGCCCTGACCGGGAATCAGACCGGAAGCCTTTTGGTGCACAGGACGACATTCAGCCAACTGGGCAACATCGGCCAGGGTTATTACGTGGCCTTTGAAAGTCGGTGTTGTACCCATTCTGTTTCTTGAAGCTGAGGTAACCAGTCAAGACAGCGGTTTTCTGTTGGTGACGGGTCAGGCCACCTTTGCTGGGCGAGCCAGGTGGTCTTGGTGGTGCCATGGCTCTGGCTCTAGTTGGTGACCTGGGACAGCGGGAAGCCAGGAGGACCCCTCGTGGGCCCTCTCAGTGTACCCTGAAGCTGCAGGGACCAAGGTACGGGCATGGCGTGTAGAAACTGCTGTTTCTTCAGTTCTGTTTGTTAAAGATAAAATGAGGCTGAATCCTTCTCAGGAGGTTTGGGTTCAGGTTGGAGCTCGGCTGAGCTGGCCATGGAAAGGCAAGGGGAAGTGCTGGGGGCAGGGGCCTGAGCCAGTGGGGCACGGTGCTCTGCATCCCTCGTGATCTGCCAGAGGATCCAGGAACTCTTGGGGCTCCAAGGCCAGAGTGGGTGTAGTAGCATCAGTTCATCCACCTTGCTCAGTCACTCTCTCCCAGACAGGTCACCTGCAGGCCTGTATCCTGATGCCCTGATGACTACAATGTCACCTGCCTGGTCTTGAAAACCCTCAGGGGACAGACCTGGGGCATCTCCAGTACCGGTAGCTCCTTATAGTCAGAGAGCTGGGTGGTTCTCACCTGGTGGCAGTTTTGCCCGCAGGGGACATCTGAGATGTCTAGGGACATTTTTGGTCCTCAGAGCTGATCGAGGGGGTGCCCCTGGCATCCGGTGTGTAGAGCCCCCACGATGTAAGGACGTTCCCCAAACAAGGAGCTATTTGCCCAGAATGTCAAAGGTGCTGTGTGAAACCCTGAGACAGCCTCAGGTTATCAGCTATTACGTCTTTGCATGTTGAGTCATTGGTCTCAGTCATTTGTTCCTGCCAGCGCTTAGCTCACAGGTGCATCTCAGGAAGCAGATCTCAATGCACTTACCGCATCAGAAAGGGGACGGGCCACTGGGACAGAGCAGGCATTTGGAGTCCCCAGGCTGTGGCTTTAGGTTTTCAAATGGATGCTGTCCATGCCCCAGAGCCAAACACTGTTCAATCAGAACACAGTGTGTGCTCTGAGCTCTGGGCAGCTATGAAGGCCTTGAAGGTAGCCAGGGCCACAGCCCTGCTGATGGCCCAGAATTGTGATTGAAGAGCTTGGAAACAAGATTGTTTCCCTATAAATCCATCTAGTTTCTTTTCTCGGAGTAGACAGCTCCTGTGTCCAGGGTCACTTCATGACATTGTCACATGTCTCCACTTGGACCCTGAGGCAAGACATGGGTGGGTGAAGGGGGTGATGGCAGAGGAGCTGTCAAGCAGGTGAGACCCCCTCCTCACCTTCCTCTTGGCTTCCTGGACTAACCCTCCGCAGGTCCACCATCCACTCACTCTCAGGCACAGGTACCATTGGACCTGACTCTTTTCAGAGAACCATGGGACAGCAGGGGGCACCACCCTTCCAGGAGGCCTGGGTCCCCACCTGCCTCCTATGACGTTCCTGCAGTAGGGTGTGCACTGATCACATCAAGGGGATATATGAAGACCACACAAGGGCCTGTTTGCCCACAAATGTCTGCCAAATGCGCACCGTGTTTGGAGCTTCATGGGCGTGGGGTGGTGGACAGCGGGCCTGTGTACTAATGAACTGCTTTAACACTCAAGGCAGGTGATCCAAATCTCTGCCATGTCCCCAAGAACAGCTGACTTTTTCGACATAAGAGCCAAACAATTTCACCTTGGGGTTCCAAAGCAACTTGGGGCTCTAGCTCCTCTGTGCTGCTTTGTGTAAGCATTATAATGGGATGTGTAGTGGCTGTTCCCCCTACACAGAGCAGAGGCACCCAGACATGTGGCTGTGCGTCTCCAGCAGGACCACATGGTGGCCACATCACTGATGGGGGTCGTTTGCAGAGTTCTAACAGGCAGGGCCCTTGCCCTGCTCACTGCAGGAAGTCACCAGATTGGCGTGGCCCTTAGATTCTCCACCTAATTGGCTTGCCTCACTTGGACATGCCTAGAAAGGCCAGCTGTTCAGCCACCACTAACCCTGATACCACTACCGGCCCTGCTTTGCTGCCTCCTGCTTGTGTCCCTTTGTGCTGGGCAGTGAGCACCCCTGCCAAAGCCCACACCCCACTCCCCCTGCACTGGAGGTCCCCATGTCAAGGTCTGAACCCGGACCCCATCAGATCACCCTGCTCCCGCACAGCACTAGCCCGCAGCTTTCTCTCCTCACTGACTGGCATGGAGGAGCTCGGCCACGCCTGCTGGTGGCAGGTGAGGTGCCAGATGCCTGCTGACCACCCACCCGCACTGCTGCTTCAGGCTATCCAGAGCTCAATCGTACTCGCCCACGCGCGGGGCAGCCACCAGGAGCTTTGCATCCCCATTTGTATCCTGCCTGCCACCATTAGCAACAATGTCCCTGGCACAGAACTGAGCGTGGGCTGTGATACTGGTCTGAATGCACTTGTAGAGGTAAGGATGTCCCCTGTGTCTGCTTCCCCGTGTGTCCCTCCTTCCCAGGAGCACTGCTGCCCAGATGAACTGGGAGGGTCTTTCTCTCCCCCTCAAGTGGAAACCGAAAGGGGAAACCTGGCCAATCGTCAAGCATGAATGAGGCAAATTTATTATTCTTTTTTTCCATTACCGGGAGATTATATCACACTTTCCACAACAGGGTAGTTTTGCCCAGCTCTCTATGGCAGGGAGAGCCCACTTTTATCTCTGCCAGTGCTCTGTGGGATGTTGACTCTGTCCCACCTGGATGAGGAACCTGGGAGTGCACAGGCCTGTGCAGGTGCCCAGGTGATGGCCAGATGCATGGTCTGTTAGGGGATCTCAGAGCAAGTCAGGAGGGCGTGAGACTGGGTTAGATGCTGGATAAGCGAGAAAATTCTAGAAGAGCAGGAGGCATCTTTCCTTGTGAGTTGGCCCAAGCTGCAGGGGCTAAGACAGCGCTCTCCTGGAGGTGAGGGACCTGGTAGGCCCTGCACCTGGGCTGGTGTCCCTGTTCAGTCACAGGAACGGATGCCTCTCCCTGAGCCCCAACCCGCCTGGCACCCACTCAGTGCCAGACTCTGTTTGTGAGATCTGTGGTTGGTGAGTGGGCACGAGACTTCTGCTGTGAGGCATGGTCCTCCCCCATAGGGAAGGGAAAGTGGCCAGGCAGGGGCCATGACAGTGACTGCCTGGCATGGACGGATACCTCCTTTAGGCAGTCACGTCTCGTGAAAGCCCTGACTCTGTTGCAGTCCCCTATCCAGAGTGGCACAGCCTCTCTGAAGTCTGCCCTTTCGGTCCAGGCGCATTGTTGGAAATCTAATGAGGATGCAGGGAGAGGACAGGAAGGGCTGTAGCTAGGCACCCACCTGAGTTTCTCACTCTTGAACTGATGGGCGTGTCTGAGCTGCTTGCTCATTTCTCACTGGAGCTGCTGGTGGGGGGTGGGCTTGCTCTCAGTCTCCCTGTAGGGTGATGGCCTCGTTCCCAAATTAGAGGCTCCCATGGGCCTTGCACTTCACTTCCTTGCAGTTCTGCTGCTTTGCAGGTAAAATTCAGTCATAGACCCTTATAGCAGCCACTGGGTGCTAGAGATTCCATGTGTCCCCTTCACTCCTCCACGAGCACAGTCAGCATCTTCCCACTGCTCACCCTGCTTCTGCCCATGGCCTGCACCTGGCATGTCACCCTAGCTTCATCACTGCTCTGTGCTTTGCGGGGGGAACCCCTTCTGGCCCTGGCCAGTCTGGTCTGGCCTACATTCCTCCTCCGGGGAACCCAAGTCATGGGAGGCTGATCTCCTAGCCCATTAATAGCACAGGACTGACCATGTCTCCACAAGTCCACAGGTTTTTTTCTATCTTTGCACCATTCTAAGCACTACTTTATCTTTTCACATTCGACTTAGTTTTAAAACTCCAGTGTGGCAAAAGTTAGCAGCACTGGAACTGTCATTTGAGGTTTTTCCTCCAGTGGGACAATGCCTAAAATTTTTCTCAGAGAGTCGTCTGTTGGCTACTGGAGGGCGTCAGCATTCTCAGGAAGGGGCATCCCCACAGTGAACATGGCCTGTGAGGCCGGAGGGGCTGGTGCAGGGCTGCTGGGGGCATCTGGGTCAGGCAGGGCTATCTGCCCTCCCGGGTTCCTTTCCCTCACCTAAAGTCAGAGCCCTTCCCACCATATGCCACTAGCTGGGGGCAGGGGAGAATTTGCTGCTGTGGTCTCTCATTTGTCAGTACTGCTTTTAGTAACTGAATTCGATGGGCTGAAATAACATACTATTTTTAGAAGAAAGGAATTCGGACCCTCAGACACAACCAAGGGAATGCAGAGGGAGAAGTTAGGAATGGCACATCTAAGCTGCAAGCAAAGGCTGAGGGTGCCAGCCAGCAACTGCTGCTCTAACTGCCAGTAGCTTACAGAGAACCGGGGCCTTGGCTCACGGTCAGGGTCACTCTGGCTCCTGACCTCCTTTGCAGGGTTGGTGCCAAGATGCACATATTCATACTGGCCTCACAGGAGAGCTGCTTTGTGGGCATCGTCTTCTGCCACTCAGGGGTTACAGTGCTGCTCTCTGCATTGGTGACAATAATCTCTGCCTCAGGAGGCCTGCTAGGGAGAACCCCGTGACTCTGCATCTCTGGGCAGACCTGGGCATCCGGCCTGCAGTGCAGCCCTGTTCCATCTCACTCCCCCAGAATTCTTCTGAGACAGACTGTGCAGGGCAGTGTAAGTGCTGGGATGCCGCGTGCATCAGAGACCCAGAGCGTACACCACAAGCACCTCAGAGCTTCATACCCGCCTGCAGCGGTCGGGAGTCTTCAGGCGCCTGTCTAGTTCCATCCCCCACCTGATTCAGAACCAGGAAGACAAGCATTGTCCTCATTGGTGCCTATTTCCTCTCCCATTTCAGCTCCTAGAGATTACAAAGTGGCCCAACTAAAGCACAGGCTGAATTTGGAATGAATCCATCTAATTATTAAGGGAAGATGAGGCTCCATCCAAGAAATTGACAGCCTAGTTAGGAGTGACAGTAATCGGCCCTGTGTGTGAAAAATCAAAATGTTCTCACAGGTGATCCAAAGTACTCAAGTGAAAACGTCCAAATCGACATTGTACTTTTGTGTACAAACCTTCTCTTGCCCTCCCAAAAAGATTCGTGACCCCTGGTCTCGGAGCCACCATTTCTCAGCCCCATTGTGGTTTCACTCCAGGTGCAGGACTGTTCAGTCCAGCGAGTCCTGTGCCATGGCCTTGACCGGCTGATGGATGGGTGGGTTGCTTTTATTCCATTCACTGCCAAGTATTTATTGAGTGCCAACTTTTTTCCAGGCATGGCTGAATGTGAGCCCGGCCTGTGACTGATGAGGGAGACACCCCAGGCCAATAGTTACACAGAAAGTTGCAGGAAGGTGGACTGTGGTGGTTCCTGTGAAGAAAGGCCCAGCGGCAGGAGCTATCTCTTCCCAGTGATCAGGCCGTTTTCCCGAGGAAATGACACTTAAGTCTGGGTCGTGTTGACAAGACAGGAAAGGGCCTGTGCTGGTTGCTTTGTTGTTGGACATCTGAGATGACTTCACTGGACTGAGGTCAAGGTGTCCACAGGCCATGCACCCTCTGTCGGCTCTGGGAGAACCTGCTCTTCTCTTCTGGCTCCTAGAGCTGCCTTGTGGAGTGCTTGGCCCCTGGCCCCTTCCTTATCTGCAAGGACTGCAGGTAGCATCTTGCTTGTGTCATGTGGCCTCTGTCACTGAGTCAGGCCTCCTTCTGGTGCCTCTTGGGGCCACTATCCAGCCCACCACAGGCAGTATGTGTGAGGGCCCTGGGGAGGACCAGGGTAGCTGTCCCTGGGCAGGGCAGCGCTGAAGTGGGCTGGCCCAGGGGGGTCCATAGAAAGGCTTTGAAATACTGGGGAAAGAAGGTGATGTTACTCAAGGCTGAGCAAGGCAAGGACTGCATCAGAGTGTTCCATAGACGGCTGGTTAGATAGGGGCTTGGCGGACTTGAAAAGAGGGGACAGCAGCCTGGACTGCAGTGTGTGGGTTTCTTCTTAGGAGACATGCTGTGTCTGTGTCTGGAAGATTCTTGGGGCCTATGTCTAGGAGCCACCGTCCATCTCAGTAGAGGTGACCTGACATGAGCTCACATTCAGGGATAGGTTGAGGGTGACCAAACTCAATGGTCACAGGGAGCCTTTTGGAAGAAAACCCAATAGAACTTCACAGTGAGTGAGGTCAGGACCGAGGTCAGCTATTCCTGCCCGTGTGGGTGCCTGGGTGTGACATCCGTGGCCACATACTCAGGACCTGCCAGGCTCTTGGCTGCTCCTGTCCCAGCACCAGCCAGCCATGCATCTGAATGACCTGTGTCCTTCTCTGTGGTCAGACGTGCGACCGCATCAAGCAGTCAGCCAGTGGGACCAAGCGCCGCGTGTTCATCATCGAGACCATGGGCGGCTACTGTGGCTACCTGGCTAACATGGGGGGCCTGGCAGCGGGAGCCGATGCGGCCTACATCTTTGAGGAGCCCTTTGACATCAGAGACCTGCAGGTACATCGGTGTGCTCGTCACTGAGTCCTTCTTTTGATGGTATCGTACGATATGCCTGGCACTTCCAATGCCCCACCCCGAGTCCAGGTCGTGTGCAGACGCACCAACTCTGATGCTAGAGCTCCGTGCACAACGATAGCAGAATCCACAGTCCAGGGCAGCTTTCACTCACCAGGCTTATACAGTTTTGTCTACTACACTATTTTGTCCGCTAAGCAGTTACCGTTTCCTTAGGTAGGTCATCAGCCATTTAACAAGGACATCTAGTGTTTCCCGGGATGAGCCCTCAGGCTCACTGACGCCTCCAGTGCCCTGTGGTCTGGGCGTGGGCAGGTCAGCGGTAGTTGAACACCCTTCCTGGAGCCCAGAGGCCACCCAGGACAAGCAGCTCTGTCCACTGCAAATACGGGCTTTAATGAGGGAACATGCAGCTAGCCCTGCCCCCACCCCCGTCCCACCCCGTACACCTGCTGGGGACACAGCAGTGGGCTTAACGCACTTTGTGGGCACTGCCAACTATAAGCAAAATGGGAACCAAACTTACCTCCTGCCCTTCCCTGCAGCTCACTTCCTTTTTTATTACAGATTTTGCTTTTCTTAGAGCAGTTTTAGATTCATGGCAGAGATTTCCCATTTGCCCGCAGCCCTCACACAGGACAACCTCCTCACTCTCAGCACCCCTGCCAGAGTGGGACCATTCTTAGAGTCGATGGACCCCCACTGACATGCCATCAGCACCCCTAGTCCCATCAGGCCTGACATTAGGGTTCACTCAGGTATCGCTGCCTCTTTTAAGTCGTCACATAACTATGCCTACTCTTCTAAATCGATAAGGTGGAGGGCTAGTTGGGCAAGCACAGGTTAGTTGGGTCACTCAGCCCAGGGATGGACTGGAGGTCAGCCTGTTCAGGACGAGGCATTAGCCAGTAAAACATAACAGAAATACACAAAAACACAAATAAAACATAACTTTGTAAAAGTTATGATTTTGTTATGTTTCTGAACCAAATAAATCAAGCAGAGATATTTAATGTTTTTACTTATATGTGAAGTTTTATCTTGACCTATGAATTTCTCTCAAACATTAAATATTTATACTTCAAAACACCTACTGAAGATAGTGCCTGACCAGCTAGTGCCATCTCTCTTGGCACGCAGTAGGCATGTAATTAGGACTGGGATTTGCTTATATGTAAATATCTTTTTTGCATATTTCCTCTCTTGAGAGATACTATTCCTTTCCTTAGATAATTTGTGCACATGTTTCAGTCAATAAAAATTTATCTTGGCCTGAAAATGCTCATTAGGCAATTGTATATATGAGAGTCCATATAAACTGAGATGACAGATAATTTCCTCTGAGATTAAAAAACACTGTCATGAAAATAGGTAAGAACCAATAGATTATAAGCTTTAGGCAAGGACAGAGTATATGTGAATTAATGTCTTAGGATGGAAACCTATTTATTTTGGAAAGTGTTTCCCATGGAAGCTGAGCTCCACTCACTAAATATACCCAATAACATGTCCTTGTCTGTCATCTTCACTTTGGGGCTTGTCATTACCTGACGTATTTTCTGTTGTCCTTGCCACCCAAATGTACACTCAGGGCACCTGCTACGTTGAGCACTTAGTATCGCATGGTGCCTGGAACACAGTAGGTGCTCAATGCTTCCTGTGTAACTGACAGAGCACTCTTTCCTAGTCCAACGTGGAGCACCTGACAGAGAAGATGAAGACCACCATTCAGAGGGGGCTCGTGCTCAGGTAACAGGATCTCCAAGTTCTCATATAAGACCTGGCTTCTTAGAGCCCATTTCATGGTCTGAAAACCAGGGAGCCACCGCTTCGCAGCCAGGACCCTCACTGAGGACTGAGGGGATAAAGCAGCAGAGTAACTGTGCTTTGTGCGAAAAACTTGCATGCACTTAAATAACAGAGGGTGATTCTTAAAAATTCATTCTTGCTTTGTAACTTTGTTACGACATCTCCAAGACATTTAATGAAGCCACTGACATTTATAAAGGGAAGAAAACGTGTGGGGTCATGCTCGGGGATTAGGGCGGAGGCCACCGTGAGCCTCCGTCAGTGCCCGCAGGGCAGAGGCTTCCCCAGCCCTGAGCCCGGTGCTTTGTGTTCCAGAAACGAGAGCTGCAGTGAGAACTACACCACCGACTTCATCTACCAGCTCTATTCAGAAGAGGGCAAGGGGGTGTTTGACTGCAGGAAGAACGTGCTGGGCCACATGCAGCAGGTAGGGGCCGGCACCCCATCCCTCACATGTGGCCCCTGGGTCCCGCTAAACAGAAAGAGAAGCTGCTATTCATGTGACTTCTTTTTAGATGGATGTCTTACTTTAGCCATCATGGGAAAAATACTGTATATTCATAAATAAATTCCAAGACGATGAAAAACATCTGAGCGATGTTACAGTTCCATTTAGAAGTCACACCAGGTATCACTAGCTTTAGGGATTCTGTTGTGATATTTGGATCAATGGGTATTTTAAGGAAATGGTCAACTGTAATATATACCAGTTAATTGGAAAAACTTATTTAAATTAAGCCTCATTCAAAAATAAGCATTCAAATGGGAATATGGGACAAATGATGTATTTGAGATTTGCAGGGAATCAGAACGAGGTGGAAAGAACCTTGAGGTACGCTCTATAAGCCGGCCCCAGATGACAAAGCAGGAGGGAGGGGGTTGCAATCACAGGCCCAGCCTCCTGACCACGTGCCTGTCCTTGCTGGGTCACCATCAACCACTCCTGTGTCTTACAAACTCCTAACCTTGAGCCCGTAGTTCATTTCAGAGGGTCCCTGAATCTCCTGAACTTGTCATGAAATGCTAGGCAGGTGTGTATTTTGTGAAAGCAAGTCCACAGAGCTGATCAGACTGTTGAAGGAAACTAGGACCCCCTCCCCATCCCCAAATAAGGTTAAGGAATCCTGATGGGAGACTCTAAGATCATGAAGACCCGCAGGGGATGAAAGCACCTGGCAGCTTGCCTCGCAGGCTCAGCTTCCCCGCAGCAGCCACAGGGCTTGCTTTTGTCTGGCCCTAACTATACACAAGATAAAATTTGCAAATAAAACCCCAAAACTTAAAGCTCATATTTACAAATTTGATGTAAATTTTGTTAAATAATAGTAATTTTATTTCTACTTCGTTTAAAAAAAATAAACAGCAAGGAAGGTATTCCTGTGTAACTAACATTTCTTATAACTCTAACCACCAACAGGGTGGAGTGCCTTCCCCATTTGACAGAAACTTTGGAACCAAAATCTCTGCCCGAGCCATGCAGTGGATCACCACGAAACTGAAGGAGGCTCAGGGAATAGGTACCGAGGGGCGCGTGGGGGCGGCCTGTGCTGGAGATGGGTCTGCATTTGGGAATGGGGCGCTGTTTCTCCTCTGCTTAAATCCAGCCTTGAGCTGCACCTGACAAAACGATTTTACTCTTACCCCAGACTCTGTGGTTGCTATTTACATCGTTCAAGTTTATCAGGTATAAATGTAATTACTACGAAATGCTTTATTCCTGCCTATTAGAGATGGGAGGCATCAAGTAATTTAGTTACATTCTTAATAAACAGAAAATTGCTCTTCACATACTGGGCTCCCTTGCAAGACCCTAAGATGTGATCTTTCCTTGTTTTCTTTCTTTGGCGCATGGAACACTTTGGACTGGCTTTTATTTGATACTTTAAGACTTAATCCTTTGATTCATTCATGACTCTTCTTTTTAGAGAAGCCAAGGAAGCACCAGAAGTATCCTGGTGCCTAAGTTTCCTCCTACCTAAGTTTGCGCTTCTCCCATACTTCACTCCCCTCAGCAGAACCTCAGAATTCTGATAGCCATCCATCACTTCGCTTCCTTTAGAGTTTACCACCTGATTAAATCTTCCAGGATGTTACTTAGTCTGCTTTTGTTTTTGTGGTTGATGTGAATGGAAGTACAGTGTGCATTTCCCAGGACTGGTGTCACTGAGGTGGTGTTAGGTTTTGACAGCCACCAACCTGACCCTCTAGCTGACCCAGCTTTGAGTGTCCTGGTGTCTGGCTGACAGGCAGTGCTTCAGTGCCCATGGCCATATGGACCCAGGGGCTGGACACTGGGTCACAGGGATGCGCAGGCCATGGCCTAGTTCTCCAGACCAGTCTCACCACCATGTGCTCACCTATAGGGCAACCCAGTCCCTTACCCTCCTGGGTGTTGAACTGCTGTGATGTGGGCCTCAGTCTCATTGTGGCTTTGAGGCAGGTTCTTCATGCTTATGTGACATTATTTCTTCTGTGGGCTCAAGTATTTTGGCTCCAAGGGTTGGTTATGTTTGTATTTTGCTTTGATTAAATCATTTTATAAGATTTAAAATTATTTTGATGCTTTATAGGAATTTTTTTACATTTTGTTGTAGCAGATTAGTATTATATTCTGTCAATCCTGTTGCAGGTATGTGTCCCCCATCTGTGCATACCTTGTCACTTTCTGCAAGGCATCTTTTAATGAAGTGCTCTCAACTTTGATGTAGCCAATTTACTTTTTCCTTTAAGGTTGAGCTTTTTGTTACTAAAATGTTCTTTCACATTTAGTTCTTTAATTCACTTGAGTTGATTGAAGTTTAAGGTCTACTTTCATTTTCTTCCATGTGGGTAATCAATTATTTGAGTGCCATTTATTGAGAAAGCCATTGTTTTCCCCCCACTCTGCAGTGTAAGCTCCATCTATATACTTATATAGGAATCTATATACTTATGGGACTATTTCTCAGTTGTTTGGTTCATTTTTTGGCATGTAATCATCGATCTCTGCCAATACTACAATTTTACAAGCAATTACTGATGCCTGGTAGTGAAGATCCTACCTGGGCCTTCCAGTTGGGCGGGTCTCAGCCTTTCCTGCCATCATTGAAATAGTAGAATCAGATCATCCAGGTCCACCACAAAGTCTGTTGGATTTCTTGGGGGGATTACATTTCATCAATAAATCATTTGGAGGAAGAACTGATATTTTTAAAATGTCAAACTTCTAATTCATGAACACTGAATCTCTCTCCATATACTAAGACCTTTTTTTTCTTATTAAAGCACTTTTACTTAAAGATCTTGCATATTTTTTGGTATAAATTTATTCCTGATTCCTTGATCTTTAAAAAATATATTATTTTAAGTGGTAATAAATCTTTTTTCTTATTGTTGGCACACAGAAATACAATTTTTGCCAAGCTGATTTTCAATGAACAACTTTTTATGCACCTTGATTCTAATTATAGGTTCTTTTCTTTTGGGTTTTATATCCACATATATTATCACCTGTGTATGAGCTTTTGATTTTTTTCCTTGATAACTTTTTGTGGAGTATATTATTCCAGAGACATCCTGAATGGATATAGTGATGGAGAATGCCTGTCTTGTCTGGACCCTAATGATTAGGGAATGCCTTCAATGTTTTGTGACTACAGATTCTTAACATGTAACTGAAGTCCTTCTTTTCGCTATTATTTGCTGCTGCTCTGTTCCTTATTTTCAACCATGATAGGATTTTATACATTTTTTGCATCCAGTGAGATGGTTAAGACTTCTTTAATTAATGGATTTCCTAGTGTTGAGCCCACCTTGCCTTCCTGGGGGACACCACCCTCCCAGCTGGGCATTCTCTCCTCACTGGTCCTGCTTTTTGCTCTGGCCATTTCGTGCTCCTCCTGTCCCTGTCAGGTGCTAGGTCAGCTTGTTCTAACTTACTAAGAAGTCAGGGAGTTCCCCCCAGAAATAATTAAGATGTTTTGATTTTTGGATGTTGATAAACTCCCAACCCTCCATCAAAGCTCCCCTCCTAGCCCCACGGTTTTCTTTGTAGGGGTAGGAGAGCTGACTTTGCTGAATTTCTTTACGGTTACTAGAACTACTCAAGGTTCTTTTTTGTTTGTTCATTTTTGTTGGTCTTTTTTGTGTTTGTTTCTTGCATCTCTTTTGTAAGTTATGTTTTCTATGAAATTTTTAAATTCATCTAAATTTTAAAAAAACTGACATGAAAATTTTCATATCCTTTTGGTTTAAACGCTGGCAGTACTTCTGATCCCTATTCATAGCAGGTTTAGGTTATTTGTGCCGGTATCTGTATGTCACTTCCCTCAGTTTTCTTCATCAGTTTTACCAGATCTGTGTGTTTATTTCCAGTTTATGACTTATATAAACACAGCGATATAAAGTTTCAACCTAATTTTAGTCTTCAAAGAACTGGCTTTTTTTTTCTACTAAGGTTTTTTACATTAACTTTTACTTTTATATTTCATCCTATCTTTTGGGTTTATTTTCTTCTTTTCACTGGTCACCTAAGGATGCTTACCTCACTAATTTCCAGCCGCTCACAGTATGTGCAGTCATGAGCACACTTTCTTACTAGTATATAACTGAACTCTTTCTACAGTTTAAGCCAATTTTTGTAGTCCAGTATTTAATGAGATACGTATTTACCACCTTACTCCCCATGGGGAGTCTCACTGCCAAGCACAGGTAACAGCTCCTCTCAGGGTGAATGTGGAGTGAGGGTGTCCCATCATCTCTGCCTCTCTACCCCCTCATCTCGAAGGGGACTTTAGGGGTGTTCTCCATCCAACTCATCACAGCCCCAGGGGATCCTGGGAGTCTGGCTTTCCCCCAGAGTGTGAGGAGTCTGAATTCTTTTTTTTAAAAATATGTCTTTATTGATTTCAGAGAGAGGAAGGGAGAGGGAGAGAGAGAGTAACATCAATGATGAGTCACTGATCAGCTGGCTGCCTCCTGCACGGCCCCGACCAGGGATCAAGCCCACAACCCGGGTATGTGCCCTGACCGGGAATCGAACCATGATCTCCTGGATCCTAGGTCGATGAGCCACGCCCACCTGGGCAGAAGTCCAAATTCTTAAATCTCCCAATAGTACTCTGCTCCCTCCCGTCAGCAAACCTTCTCTCTCCCCTTTCACTGCCCATTTCACCTGACTTTCAACATGACCAAGTATCCATTCTCAGGTCATTTTTCTGTCCTTCATAGGAAAAAGATTTGTAACTGATGATTCCATCTGTGTGCTGGGAATAAACAAAAGAAACCTTCTTTTCCGACCTGTGGCTGAGCTGAAAGAGGAGACAGACTTTGAGTAAGTAAAATATCGCACACCTAAACCATACTGCAGGTAGAAGGAATGGAGGACAGGTGTCAAGGACAGAGGGACACCGCTGTTGTAGTCACTGTACTCACCTGTGCTGCCTCCTGTCTCCAGGCACAGAATTCCCAAAGAGCAGTGGTGGCTGAAGCTCCGGCCCCTCATGAAGATACTGGCCAAGTACAAGGCCAGCTTTGAGGTCCCTGACTCGAGCCAGATGGAACACGTTCACTTTGGCCACGGGGAGCCTGCAGCCATCTAGATGACACTGCCCACCAGCGATTCCCCAGACTTCCTGTTTACCGCCCGTTTTTTAACACGTATGTTATTTATCAGCACTTTATGTGAGTACTGTTGGTGTTAATCCCTAATCTCAGAGCACCCATCCTGTGCCCTTCACACTCCCACTTGATCCCAAGACTTCAGGGAGTTGTCTGCCATATCGCATACTCTGTCTCCTGCTTTACAATGTGCACTTCCAGTGGAATTAAACAGTTGGCTAAAACTCCAACCACAGTACTAAGCTTAATTTTTTTAAGTAGCCGTTTACACCTCAGGATCTGTGGCAGCTACCAAAGATTTGCGGCAGTTTTGTGGGCAGGTACTAGCAATGTATTTTTTATAGGAATCAGTGAACTAGGCCGCACGGAAGCACAGTCCTAAAGGGGAAAGGTAATGCTGTGACACAGACATGGGATATGTCAGGCATGCAGGGAAGGCCCCACACCAGGACATCAGGTAAGGTGAACCAACTCCAGCTACATGAGCTCCTTCTCAAGTGTAGAATTAGAAGCACCATGAACACGTGTGTCAGGAACAAGGCGAACTTACACACTTGACCTCAGTCCTCACTGTGCACTGAGGAAGGTAGGATGTGTTACTCAGTGTCTGGAGTGAAAAGTATTTCTGCCTCTTTCCTCCAGCCTCTGCTCTCAAGTCTGAGACGAGAGGAGCCAGCCAGTCCACCAGCCAAGGGTGGAGAAGTCGTGCATAGAGAAGGTGGATGGCGTGAAATACAGGACGACCACCACAATAGAGCCAGTGTCCCAATAAAGCGAGTTACAGATTTTGGGTTTCCCAGTGCATATAAAAGTTGTGTTTACACTAAACTGTAGTCTACTAAGTGTGTGATAGCAGTATATCTAAATGTACAAGACTTAACTAAAAAATACTTGATTGCTTCAAAGTGCTAAGGATCATCAGAGCCCGTTGGAAAATGGCACTGACAGACCTGCTCGACAGAGTGGCCACAAACCTCCAATCTTAGCACACGCAGCACCTGCGCAGCAGAAGGTGCTCTGCCTATGGGCTGTTCAGGAAATGAGGACCCAGTGAGAAGTTTACTGTCTGTAAGACGAAGACTAACAAAGACGACAGAGCCCTTCAGTAATGATAAAATGGGAACAAGTTAACGCTTATTAACCTCAAACACACCAGTTCTCGAAAGGAGTCCCATCAGGCTGCCCTGCTGAAGTGCATCTGTCCAGAATTTTCCCCAGGTCCCTGGTGTAACACACTATTTTATAAATCAAGGCAGATGTTGGAATACCTTCATTGGCTTATTCATTCACTCATTCATTTTTAGTAAAGGTCCTAAGAACTACTTAGCAAAATGTCATTTAAAATGACTAAAGCACAGGTTGGTCAGAGTTCCCTTTAATTTTAAATATTTAAATAAATGTTCTAGGATTAATAAGGTAATACAAGCATTTCTATCATTATTAGAAAGTCTTATGATAGCTGTGCATCTCTGGCATTTAATGCATGATTATTTCACTTTCTTCATGATCACCCATTTCCTTAAGATGGAAGACTTTGGGTCTGGCTTGACAGAATTTTGGCAAAGTTTTAAGACTGATATATGATCAAGATATTTGGGAAAAACAATCACTTTTCTAACCTTCGAAATTAAATTTGGCTCAGCTGACTTCTTAGGGGCCTGTGAGCCTATGTTAGCTGAGTACCGAGCACAGCTGGAGCTACTCGTCATCTGATGATCCAGGATGGGTCCTTGGCAATCTTTGTGTTCTCCGGTCCCAGCAGAGCCAGCCCGTGAGTGCTCCTCCCCACACCAAGGTACCTGAAAAGGCAGGTGCGGGAATCAGGACTATTTCCACGTCAGGCACCCTCTCAGGGTCCCAGGAAGTCTCTGAACACTTCAGGCCACATGGTCATACTCACTTGTTGCTCACATCAACGAGACCATCGCGATGGACGGCGAAGAGCTGCTCCCTGTGCACCTGCTTCAGGTCATCTGAGAGGCCATACAGGAAGTGGTCCAGCCCTGAAAGGAACATAAGTGACTGGGGAAGAAGCTGGTGGCGGCAGCATGAGGCAGTTGCCCCAGGCGCTGACCCTGCTCCACAGAACTTGTTTCTCAGGTGCTGACCCTGACCCGGTCCCCTTTGAGGAAGATGATGGAGAGGCGTGAGGGCCAAGTCAGGATGGTCTCTGCCCCACTTGTCACATGGCCCAGGGCCCTCACAGGTCACTGAAGCTCTGAGATGGTGAAATGCGACCCCTTTCAAGTGGCAAACGCCCAGATGCTCACTCTCAAGGTGGACCCTGGAGTCTCGCAAAGGAGGTGGCAGCGAGAGGTGGGGTGAGACGGGCACACAACTCAGGAGCTCAGCCCAGAGCTGTCTGGTCACAGCATCCACCACAGCGGTGGTTTTTCACTCCCAATACCTTTGTCCGAAGGCGCCACAGGAGCATCCACAGCAGAGAACACGGAAAGCTTGGCCTCATCAATGTCCTGCTGTGAGAACTTCCCAGATTTGGCCCAGTCAACGGCTTTCGCAAAAGACTGGAGTGTTTCTGTTGAACGTGGATCCCTGGGAGACCCAAAGAGTTAGCTACTCACACGTGTACCAACGAAAAAATAAGCAACAATCATGTGCTGACTTCACAGCTTCAACACTTTATAGTTGTTAATGGCTCTACTTTAATGCCTAGTCCAAATCAACAACGCTCTGGAAATTTAAATCTGGCGACACAGGCCATCTGACCCTCTCCCTCCCATTGGAGACGTGGTCTGTTCACCCAGCCTCACGACCAGGCCATTAAACGCCCCCTTGTGGCTTCCTTAGGAAGAAAAGTCCAACTGAATAAATGACTCGTGGAGAAACGCTAAGAAAGGTAAAATGAAAACCCTCACTCGGTACACACTGTGAGTACTTGAATAATCACCCATATCTGGGCCAATCTTGGGGAGCCTTCACTGTCTACGTGGAAAGAGCTGCAGAGGCCTGTGTTCACACTACAGACGAGCACTGAGCGGGCTGGCAGACCTGGGGGCGTGCAGCTCAGGTGTTGTTTTTGTCCTTCTGCAGCTCCCAGCACCAACACCAGGCAGTGCTCAGAATCTTCCACTGTGCGAAGCTAAGAGAAATGCCTCAGGGGCACAAACAATGTGTCCTTTCCCTAGAATATTCGAATATGTGTCTTCAGGCAGAAGGCCACAGAAAATGAAAAGGGCAAATGCAGCCTGTGTAGCAGGGAGCCCAGCCTCTGTCATCACATCAGCCAGAACGCCCAGGTCACCCTCTACTGAAATACGCTTGTCACCCAACACCACATTCATTTAAGGCACAGTGTTTCCTGTTCTCCTGCTGTCCCCGAATCTAAAAGGACAGTGCTAGATGTGGTTCAGTGCCAAAGAGGTGGGGAAAAGTGGGAACTGTTTTTCTCACGTTCACTCCAGTGTATGAGATGTGACAGTGATGACTGAACAGAGCCAGTGACTGTCAGTGACATGACGTTGTGTCCACATGCAGGAGATGGTCGGAGAAAAGCTCACCTATATGAATAAAAGGTGAATATTCCATTATGACTGAGCTTGGCGCCTCCACCGTAAGCACCACCTTTCTCTCGAATTTCTGTGTGCAAGAATTTAGCTGTCATCAACCGTGCCAGGATCTTCAGACTGAAATAAATGATCAAATCACGCAAGTTTAAAATATGGCTGGCGGGAAAGTGCTGTATATCACAGAAACAAGTAATTTGAAAGAATGTTAAGTGTATAATTAAGTGAAAACAAAAATAAAGACACAGTAGCTTGGATGACGGGTGGGAGGGGACACACTTCTAGCTCCCTCTTACCCTCTTACCACACAGGGAGCATGTTAAATCTGCAGCCACAACTTAACCTGCACATCAGCATGCGTGTGTGTCTGTGTGCATGTGGAAGGCTCTTGACCAGCTTTCCACAGGTGTCTTCCCTAGGGTTCCACTTGGTTGGAGCGCATGTGTTTTCTACATTCCCACTAACTTCCATTATGAATGCTCACAGGGACTGGGGTTTACCTTTCATGTGCTTTTCTTTAGAAATTTCTATTCTATGTTACCTAATGAATACACAGTCATTGTTGGAAATTATAAAATACAGGTTGGAAATTATAAAAAAGAGGCCAAAATATCAATCCTTCCACTCCCCACAGACACCTCTTGCACCATTTTTGTGATTTAACTCTACATTTTTCTAGTCGTTTTAACTAAACATCCCAACCCTGGTGGCATAGCACAGAGTATGTCTACTTCCTACAAATACGGAAATAAACCAACAAAAATGCTGAGCAACACACAGTGATTACATTTTCTACATGAACTTTTTCTGGAACATTTTCTGGCAGCCACCACGACGTTTCCCTCCCTGACTCTCCTCTCTCCACGGCCACCCATCCCCTTCCTTGGAGTCATGGTTTTCACGCCCACCTCATTTGTACCTGGCATGGTCAGCATCTGTGTAGGGGGCAGTTCTGACACATTCACCGATGTAGTTCACAGGGAACGGAAGCAGGAAGTGCGTCTTCATCTGGCAAGGCTTGAAAGTGGGCTCCTGCAGAGGGAAGGTCAGGTCAGGCTGCGTCACAGTGAGGTGGCCCACAGGTGCTTCCCGTGTAGGTGCCACCTGGACGTCAGCATGTCCTACTTCCTGTGGGCATCACCAGCAATGGTCTCATTTTTGAGAGCAAGGCACTGATGACCATGTCACACAGCTACAATGAAACAGTTCATTCTGCATCATCTCCATTGGTCACTGACTGTGCGAGCTTTCTTTTTCCTTCCATTTGTCTCCAGGAACATGGTCATCTGCTCTCTCAAGGACCAACCAAACCAAATGCCCAGATCACCCATGCTGAGTGAGTGGTAGGGACAACACTGCTCAGCTGGAGTTGAATTAATACCAATTCGGCAGCTAAGTTGAAACAGAGGCACAGTGATGAGACCACGTGGAGGAACAAAGGTCTTCATGGGCACTAGGACAAGAGACAGGACTCCCCTGGTCCTACATTCTGGCAGAGTGAAGCACCTGACTGGAATCTAGGATGGCCTCCAGCTTATCCTGGGGTCTAGCTGGGTTGTCTGGTTCTGAAGTGACAGGGGCTGTGTTAACTTACTGTGATTAGCTTCCTGATGACTTGGGAGCCACTGACGTGCGTATTTCCCCCAGATCCGTTAGGTACATGTTTCTGAAAATGTTTCCAAGAGAAATGAGAAAAATCCTAAACTCACTT